TGCTGAGCCTGGCCTGCGTCTGACGGCGTGTCGTGTCGGAGGGCTTCATTCTCTGTTGCGCTTCTCTTCCTGAACCACCCTTTTACCCCCGTCCTGGAACATAATTTAACGGTAGCCCAGCTTCTCCCTGCTTCATCCTCTGTTTCACTGAATAATCCAAAATATTACTCCTTCCTTTTCAGAGAAGAGTTACGTAAGCTTTTGTTCCTAAGAGACGTAATGTTCAAATCAGCCTCAGGTTTTCCCCCTAAATAGGGGAAAATAAAGTCAAAATAGGTTTTAATAGGAATCAGACGGGAAAATAAAACTTTAATAACCTATTTTCTGTGTGAACTTCTAGATACAACTTAAGGCATATTTAAGACCTTTTCATGTTGTATGTGTAAGGTTAGAAATTAGTAAACTTTCTTGAGTTTCCTTGATGATGAAATAGAGTGAGTCTAAAGCTTTCTCAGGTAGTAGGATGTCTGGAATTCCTGTGCTACTGTTCTTTTCATGTGGAATACTATGAAATATTGATACAATTTTAAAACAATTATAATTCTGTTTCAAGTCAAGTGGCCTCTTACACTAGAATTCAGTATTGACAAGTGATAGCAAATGCAGAGGTTAAGAATATTTTGAGAGAAATCTTGTATTTAATTTTGTGCCCCAGCAGACTGCGGGGAGAGTACCATTATTTACTTTCGGCAGCAGTTTTCACGTTGTCTGTGTCATGTCCTCTGTGTTCCTGTTCCTGTGCTCCAGGGACTTTTATTGCCTTTGTGGCGAACACATATGATACAAGAATGGATACTTTGTGTGTGTGTGTGTGTGTGTGTGTGTGTGTGTGTGTGTGTGTCCCTGTTTTATTTTGTTTCTGCACCATGATTTCAGCTGACGTACCTTTTCACGGAGCCACAGATCCTGCTTGCTATGTAGTAGAACTCTTCTGGGGTCAGGATGACAGGAGGGTGCTGGAGTAGCTCGCAAGGAAACGGAGATGCTCACTCACAAAGCAGGAGGCGGTTTTCTTTCCCAATAAGATAATCTTTTATTTTTCTTGATTCTTTACCAGCCAACCTATTAAGTCATATAAAAAATAACTTGTCTCTGTGTCAGCTGCTGGCAGGCCAAGTTATAAATTAAGAATAAGGAAACAAGTAAGATCTGGAAAAGAAATTAGAAGTGTTTGCACACACACAGTACTTACAACTTTGCTTCATAAAAGCCAGTTTATTAGGGCTACTCTTAACATTTCTTTTGAAGTTAAAGAAAACATATTTAAAGCAGACGATGATTCAAACACTTAGTTATTTCCATATTTTCATTAGTTTTCTTTTATTTAAGTTACTTCATGTAAATTATTTGGATTTTTATTTATTAAAAATAATAAATAAACCGGTGTGATTCCAACCCCAGTTTTCTAACTGGGTTTGGATTTTCTTGTGTGTTTGCTTCCTTGGTTATAGTTTTGAATTAAGATACAATTTACACACGGTGAAATGAGATCTTGAATGTGTACGTTTTGATCAGTGCACTCACGTAACTGTCGGCCCATCAAGACAAAGAACGTTTCTCACCCCAGACCTTCCCCTGCCCCGGTGGCTCTGTTTCTGGCCGCAGCGTATGAGGTGAAGTTAGCTAAGCCATAGATAGCTTTATGTCATTCTGTGTCATAGCCAGTGTAGTGATAATGTTACTTTTATCAGAAGGCTCAAAGTAACGGACCTGAAAAGCAGGAAAAAGAAGGTGTTATCCAGAACTTCAAGAGAACTCTCTCAAAGAAAGAAAAAAAGGAAAAAAAGAAGCGAGAAAAAGAGGCAACGAGGCAGGCGTCTGATCGAGACGATAGACCTTTCCATGGGGATGACACGTAAGTTAATTTTGGAAATATTCCTGTTTCTTTGTGTTCTAAGCCTGGTGTTTTTCGTGCAGCAGACCTCATTAAATTACCAAGTAAAGGCCGAAGAGGGTGCGCCTCAGGTAAGTGCGTTGGGGCTCGTGCTGGGTCCTGGGCGTCGAGGGAAGCCAGTGGGGCTCTGACTGAGCTGCACGCGTCGCTCACAGGGCTGGTCTCGGCGCGCTCGCTCTTCTTAAAGATGTGGGCTGATGAACAGTGTTGCCGTTCCTGGGTAGACCGGGTGTCAGGGTGTTCTTCGTCTCTGCCTGGCCTTTCCTTTCCTCTCTGTTGTTTTGGTCCTTAAGGCAGCAGTGGATTCTTAGACACCTCAGGTACGCTTAACACCTGATCAGAGGTTGGCAAGACCAGTGAGAAAAGCTGGTGTTCACTTTTCAGGTTCAAATGCACCATCAGGTTCACTGCAGCCCCCGCCTGCCCCCCTTCCTTATTCTCTCACAGCAGCCCCATCACAGGTGTCTTTACCTGTCTGAAGGGATTTGATCTTCTGACCTCGGAGCTGAGGGAATAAGTAAGGGAAACCGCTGTGTTTCGTTGTAACAGAAAGGACACATGAGCAGAAGCTGGCCTTTCCTCCTCGCTTGGAGTCTCCTGGCCTCAGTGTAGCCTTGTCAGTTTTCAGTTCAGTTCATTCTCTTATCGTGGTTTCTCTTAGGCCTCTTCCTTGCCTTAGAGTTGATGGCATAGTTTCTGTTTACAGCTTATTTTTAGAAAGAGTAGATAGATTTGCCAGAAAGGGAGAAGGAGTTTCTTGTCATGTATGAACCCAAAGAGAGCCGTAGTTTGTTTATGCAGCACAAATATATACGCTTCATATATCTATGTAGAGAGTTTTTAAACAAGTATAATCAGTCTTTTGAAACCAGAACTTTTCACATGACATTTTTCCACTAAAATTAAATGTATTTCACATAAATACACATAGTCAAAATATATATATTTTCACAAAAAACATACATATTAAATAATTTAAATGACTGTGCAGTATTCTGTCATATAGTTTTCCCATAATTTATGAAACCAGCCCTTGTCATGTACTTGTGGATAGTTTACAGGGTTTTTTTGGTATTATAAATGATGCTCCGGTGAATATCCTTGTTTTTACAATTTTGAGGACTCGTGTGAATGTTTCCTAAGGAAATGCTCTGGAAGAATGGCTCAGAGACCCCTTGGGGTGCTTGTGTTGCCAGACAGCCCACGGGCCCTCTCGTTTCCATACCCTTAGTACTGCTGAGTATAACAGAGCAGAGTACGGTCTCTGCAGTATGTGAAGCCTTCAATAACTCGAGCTTACTGTATCATTAACAAGGTAGATGTCTCTCTGCACGTTTATTAACCGTTGACATTCTTCTGCTGCTGCGGTGACCTCTTCAAGTCTTTCTTCCGTTTTTTGGTTGATTCTAAGTGTTGTGTGTGTCTTGAGGATATTAACCATTTGTCAGTGAAGGGAGTTTACTTTAGAGTGGAATTTGAGCCCATTGTGGAGTGCATCCAAATGGATTTAGATATTAATCTGTTAGGCAGAGACGCCTGTGGGATGCACATGAACCCTTGACTATAGTATTGCGTGGTAAGGCTCTACTTAGTGTATTTATGCAAGAGAAAGAACTTATATACATAGATTGTTCATATATGAAAAATATCAAGGAAAAGGAGAGTTTAGAACTTAGGCTACAGTTTGTTCTATGTATTTAGTTTATAGGGGGATAGATTATTTGTGTTAAGGAAATGAGCTACTTAAAATGAGTTAAGTTTAACTTGATTGATTTGAAGCTTGACTGACTTAATGAAATTATTTTGTGATTTTAAAAATGGCATCCTTAAAATACATTTATCAAAATTTAGTCAAGCATATCAATCTTACCTAAATATTTAGTTTTCAACTCTTCATTCTATACAGTTGACTCATTATAGGAACTTATGGAGCAATTTCCTTTTAAAACTTTCACTTCAAGAGAGTGAATGGTGGTAAATCTCTTAGTTGTTAAAAAAATCAGGCTGTTTGAGTTCTTCAAGATTTACTGTAATTTGAAGACAGATTTTTACTAAAGTATGTTCAATCCTTTATTTCTATTGGTTGGAATGTTGTATCCCTCATTTAGTCTATTTTAAGATAACCGTGGTAGGAATGTATAATTTATACATTCTAGCTTTATTAATGAATACTCAATAATTACATTCTATAAACTCACTATAAAACTTTAATTATAAATTTCTGCTTAGTTCAGTATTTTAGCTTGTATTGAGAGGAAGTTTATTCTTTATCCCTAGTAATTAGCACATGGTGAATGGTACATGGCAAGAATTGTGTAGCCAAATAACATCTGCCATTTTGAGTTTTGTATGATTTCAGTATAATTGTTTCTAATATAAAATTTTAAAAATCTTGTTATTGCCTTTTTTTCCTTACAGTGAAAATTCTCGACTGGCTGCTGAGGTTTACAAAGACATGCCTGAAACTAGCTTTACCCGAACAATTTCTAATCCCGAGGTGGTTATGAAACGACGGAGACAACAAAAACTGGAAAAGAGAATGCAGGAATTTCGGAGCTCAGATGGGCGACCTGATTCAGGTGCAGACTTTGAATTGTTTTTCTGTTATATTTGTTGTAAAGTCTATTAATTTAATAATCCTTTTCATATATGCATGAGGCCTTGAATAAGTAAAGTTAATGGGTGATGTAGCCTGTTCATAGCAAGTGCGTGCCATGTGTGTCTGGTACAAAGTCAGTTTTGCCTTCAATACGTTTAGTTACGTATTTATCCCCAGTATGGCTTTTTTTTTTAAAAAAAAAATTCTGGAAAATATCAAGTATATACAAAAGAATAGAGATACAGTGAACTTCCCATGTGTTTATTACCAAGCAAGCTTCCGTAATTAACACGTTTCATCTCTGCTTCTACGTATATTGCTTTCATTCCCAGACTGTGTTATTTTTGAATCAAATCCCAACTTTCTCATTATCTCATCCATAATATTTTGATATATTTTCCTGAAAGGTAACAATTCTAAAAAAGCAAAAACAAAAATAAAGCAAACCATAGTACCATTATCACATAGAAAAGAATTGACAGTAATTCCTTAAAAATCATCAGATACCTAGTCATTGTTCAGATTTTCCTGATTGCCTCAGATAATTCCTTTAGTTGAGTCAGGATACAAATACAACCTAAATGTTGGATTTGCAATTGGTTAATTTGTCTTTTATGCCTTTCATTCTTTTTACCTCTCAGTTTGCTTATTTGTTGGTTTGTTTTAAAACCCTAGGTTGAGTGTCTTGTTGGTTTTGCTGACGGCATCCTGTTGTGCGGTTTACCGCTGTTTTCCTCTTGTTTTCCTTGATTAGATACAGGTACAGGGTTAGGGTTTTTGGTGGGAGGCGGTGGGACAGGAATATTCACCTTAGTGTCATCCCCAGGTGAGCAGTGGTTTGTAAAATTTCAATAAGCTCATGAATGTAAAGCTTCTCAATGTTTGTCCATCTTTTGCGGTTATTGTTGTTACTGATTCTTGAATGGTCGCTTCGAGCCAGCGGGGCTGTCTTCCAGCTGGCACCCGGGTCTGTGACATGGCCCAGTGATCTTGAGAGCTTCCCTGGAGGATAGGATGTCTGCTAACCTCGTGCTTTCCTGCCCCAGCCTAGGAGTCAGCTCTTCCTCGGAGGAATCCTGTTCCTTTTGCTGGGATAAGTGTCTGGTTGCTAGGAGCGCTCTCTGTTACTGGTTAGTCTTTGCTTCTAAGCCTGTTTGGTGGACAGAGCTTCGGAAATACATGGTTTTTTTTTACTATTTTGATTTTAGAAAATCTGGGTGTCTTTTCTCTAAAGGTAAAATTCTTCCCTCCTAAGAACAATAGAATAATTATTAACAGCATAATTATATTAATCAGTTATAATACCAAAATCAAAATAGGGCTATTATTAATACCAATATGATACTGAAAACATTTTATTTAAGCCTTTTGTGAAATCTGTGCTGTGTTTGAAATCGCATATTCGATTCCTGTGTATGTGATTATATACCCACATTGATTTATACTTAGGTTTATTTGTTTTATTTTACTTTTGACTTTGAAGGTTTGCTTCTTTAAAATTTAGTGTTGTTTAACAGTTTCTAAGTCAAATCTGCAAAACAAGGTACATTTAGAGAAGTCCAGCTTTTTTGTCCCTGTGGACCCCTTGAATCAAAGGCAACATTCTGTACACATGTCCCACTGTGATGTTTCCTGGAGATCACCCTGTATTTCTGAGGGAAATAAAGGTTAAAATGAGAAAACACACGACTACTCTGTGAGCTATAAATTGGTTTTGTGTATTTTTAGCTATTTGATATAAAACTTTTATTTGTAATTAACCTGTAATTATACTCAGCAAGTAAAATAGTTTTACTTGTTAAAAAATAATAGCATAATCATTTGTTTCAAAAAAAATCCTTGTATTAGAAGGCTGTATCTTTGATCCAGCCTTTCCTAAAAATGTCTGACCTGGTAAGTCATCGCCTCTGTGGCTCTTTTGTAGCGCTGCCCTGAGGCGCTTAAGGGCGGAGCGTCGCGCTGTCGCATGCTGCGCTCCTGCTAGCTTACTCACGAGTTTTAGGGTTTGAGTGCTGGGACTGGTGGCTTTTCTCTGAAGCCGGGTTTATAGCAGTTTTGGTTGGGAAGGTTGCTTAATTGTGGGCCCATTCTCTCGGCTCCAAGGCTGAGTCAAAGGGTGTTAGTCCCTATCCAGATCCTCTTATTATCCGATATGTTTATGTGGCAGCAGGTGGGATCTGTCGGGGAAGTTGTGCTCACACTCGTGTCATACTCGTGGGAGCAGCGTTATTCTCTATTTTATTAGTGGTCTCTCTTACCTTACCTCCATTCACGAGATAGTCTGTGGACCATGGTTCTGAAATGCATGGTTGCTTGATTCTGCCCACTTGACAGAAATTGCTGGTGACCCCATTTCTTGTGAGCTTGCCCAGAGCTTTGTGTTAGGGTGGCGTGTCATACAGCACCAGCCACAGTGGGAGCCGGCCCTGAAACCTGGTTGTCTCTCCAGCATCACGGGTTCGCTTTGACCCTTAGTGCCTGTATGAACTGAGTCTCAATTATATGTTTCATGGGAATTATAGTATCGGTGATTCAAAAAAACTAGGACACTGAGAGACTTATTAGTTCTATAAATAATTTGATAGATGGCTTTTGAGACCTAAATGATTATCTGTTTGTATATATTCTGTGTTGTTCAATCAGGAATTGAAAAAGACAAGAAAAAGAAGGAGAAAGGAGGGAGAAACTACAAAGGTGAGGAAGGAGAAATTGTAGTAAAAGTTTTAGAAAGGATGAGAGGAATGCTCAGAGGTACCTGCCACGTGCTGACCACGCTTCCGACCACGGGGGGAGTCTGGCATCGTTATGGAAGTAACTTCCTCAGTGACCCCTTGAGGAGTATTCAAGTATAGGCTCAGGGGTATGTGAGTCAGACTAAGGAGAGCTGGCTTAGAGTGTCAGTTTTTATAAGCAACTTAACAAAATCTTTTTATAAACAGTATGTCTCTAATGTGGATCAGGATGCAACGTTACATATGTTGTTAAGATAAAGCAGGAAGCTTTTTTTTTTCTTTCTTTTTTGTTTTGCGGAACGCGGGCCTCTCACTGTTGTGGCCGCTCCCGTTGCGGAGCACAGGCTCCGGACGCGCAGGCTCAGCGGCCATGGCTCACGGGCCCAGCCGCTCCGCGGCACGTGGGATCTTCCCGGACCGGGGCCCGAACCCGTGTCCCCCGCATCGGCAGGCGGACTCTCAACCACTGTGCCACCAGGGAAGCCCAAAGCAGGAAACTTTTTGCAGGTAACTTCAGCCTGTGTCCTCAGAGATCCATATTTATTTTCCTGTGCCATTGGTGGTACTTTGATGGAAATATTTGGTATGATCTGTTAATAAACTGCTGAAAGAGTTTTAAGCTAGGGATTGAGAACGCTTTCAGTTTAGCCCAGGCCTCCAATCTGGAGCGGTTACTCTGAGAGCAGAATCTAGGGCTGATTTGAGGGAATTGTGGTCAGAAGCAGGTGTCCCCCTTCAAAGGCTTGTGTGACCCCGGAAGGACCGAGTCTCTGAGCTCAGTCGGGGACAGTGGTCGCGGAGAGAGAGAAGCGGGAGCAATGTTAAGGGAGAGAATGATCGGGAAGCAGTGCCAGCCTGAGTTTTCTGAGGAGAGGAGGCCAGGATGGCGCCCTGCTTTGAGCAGGGTGGATGTGGGTCTGTGGAGGAAGGAGCGTCCGGAGGAGGAGACGGGCTTCGTCTGTGTGTCTTGGGAGGGGCCGGCGTGGTGCGGGGGGACGCCCTTAGGCTGCCGGCTCGGTGGCTGAGTACTAGTCAGCGGTGCCAGGTGGAGAGAAAGATCCGGGAGCAAGCTGTTCTCGGGATGCAGCATCATGGGCGTGGCAGAGATTTGGTGGAGTATACCGGTAATACACGGCCACTGTTGAGAAGTGGGCCAAGGAAACGGGAACAAAACCTCCAGAGGATTAGGAGAAGAAACAGCAAAACACCCACTAAAGTAGAGCTTGTCTGTTACAGGGATGGTTGGGTGGGAGGAACATTTTTCTGTACAAGCTCCTAGGAATCCCTAAAAAACTGGATACTGTTGGCAGAAGAGCTGTTTGTGGTTAATATTAAGGCAGTCAAATATAGTAAGTTCAAGTGTTCTGTTGGTTTTTAATAAACAACTTAGAAAACTATATCCTTATAACCTACTGAGGCTGTTAGCTTATCACTTAGGTTGGTGAAGAATGTTGTCACGGGTGGGTAAGGTTCCCTGAGAGTAACAGCCGAGTCTGTAATTTTCCTGTCTTGTTTGCCCGAGCGTTGGTTCCCCAAGTTCTGATGATGTACTTAAAGAGACCTGTCTGACTCACTTCACAGCGGATCAGAAGTCATAACTTGTAACAAGCCTTGGCCCCAGAGCTCATAAAGTATTTTTAACACTCAGATGTATTTACTTTCTTGATGTCTTCCAAGTGTAATTGACCTCAGAATGCCCTTGGGAGTCAGCCCTTCTGCCTCAGTTTTCTGGTGAACAGTCTTGGAGCTGTGGAGTGCTAGGACACGGACTCTGGAGCTAGGTTCTGGTAGGGACCCTTGTGTTCCGTGGGCCACGCTTTCTTCATCTTCTGCATAGGGGAATCATCCTCTCTTAATTTTAGAACTGAAATGGATATTTATACAAACAGATTTTAGTCGATGGTAGAATTTTAAAATGTTAGCTTTTCTTCTATCTCCCCTTCCTTAGGAAATCGGGAGGTATGTATTTCTGTTGTGATGATACTATGGTATTATGCTTTTAAACTAAAAACCTCTTAAATTAGACTGTATCCATTTAGTTACTTATTAATCTGTCCATGGATGTAAGTGGAGTTTAGATCCTCTACTACTGTTGTGTTATTGTCAGTTCCTCCCTTTATGTCTGCTAGTATTTGCTTTATATAGTTAGGTGCTCAAGTATAGGGTGCATATATATGAATTGAGTATTCTTCTTGTATTTATCCCTTTATCATTATATAATGCCCGTCTTTGCTCCAAAGTCTGTTTTGTCTGATAGGAGTATTGCCACCCCCATTTTCTTGTCATTTCTGCTTGCGTGAAATAAATATCTTTTTCTTTCCCCTCGCTTTCAGTCTGTATGGGTCATTAGCTCTGAAGTAAGTTTCTCGTAAGCAGCACATAGGTGTTTCTGGTTTTTTTATCCAATCAGCCATCCTATGTTTTTTGATTGCAGCATTTAGTCCATTGACATTTGCAGTAATTATTGATAGGTATGTACTCACTGCCATTTTATGACTTGTTTTCTGCTAGTTTTTGTACTTGTCTGTTCATGTCTTCTTTCTGTTTCTTCCCTTGTATTTTGATGATTTTCTTTAGTGGTACTCTGTTTTTTTGTATCTGGTTTTTGTGTGTTTATTGTAGGTTTTTGATTTGTGGGTGCCATGGGTCTCATATATGTTGATCTATATCTACTTGTGGTAAACTAGTAGTCATTCAAGTGCAAACACATTGTAAAAGATCTGCATTTTTTACTTCCCTCCCCTACATTTTGTGTTTCTGATGTCATATTTTATGTCTTCATGTTGTTGTCTTGTTCGTTTTCTCCCCCCTGATTTCGACCCCTCAATCAGGTTACAAGCTGTTTGGAGCCTAGGACGATGACCAGCTCATGCTGTGTCCTCAGCGTTGGGACGGGCGGTGTAGGGGGACCTTAATCCCTGTGAGTTTGTAGATAGCCTGACCCCCTGGCCTGTGCCAGCAGGTCCGCGTTCTAATACCAGCCTGGGCTTGCTGGTTCTTCTTCTTTTTTTTTTTTTTTTTTTTTTTAACATCTTGATTGGAGTATAATTGCTTTACAATGGTGTGTTAGTTTATGCTTCATAACAAAGTGAATCAGTTATCCATATACATATGTTCCCATATGTCTTCCCTCTTGCGTCTCCCTCCCACCCTCCCTGTCCCACCCCTCTAGGTGGTCACAAAGCACCGAGCTGATCTCCCTGTGCTATGCAGCTGCTTCCCACTAGCTATCTACCTTACGTTTGATAGTGTATATATGTCCATGCCTCTCTCTCACTTCATCCCAGCTCACCCTTCCCCCTCTCCATGTCATTGCTGATTATTCTTGAAAGACCAGCATTATTTTATTGTAGTCAAGTTGTCATAATGCAGTGTGTGCCGGACCTGTTGAAAAAGAGGGTGTGAGAAGCATTCAGTAGCCAGAATAACTGCATTAGAATTCAGAAGAGGCAAAAAGGAGTCATAGAAATTTAGAATTTGCTTCAGGAGACCCACAGATGTTTAATGTAGCTCTTTAACTTAGAGGTGAGCAAAGGAAGTCGGGAAGCCTCCCCGAGGTCCCACGTACACAGGGATGTGGCACCTGCCACTCACTTGCCTGAGTTGCCTACCTGCCCCCAGTAGTCTTTCAGCTAGACTTAAGATTTTAGGGCTTAAAAATCTTAGATCATAAGTAAAAAGCCAATTATGACACCAAAAATGTCAGTAATATAGCATATGTAGGATTGCATTAAAAAGAAATATACAAAGAAAAGCTAAGGATATCCAAATTGCTCTGCTCTAGTTGACTTTTTTTCCTCTCGAATGAGTTCACAGCTAGAAATGACATTCTGGTTTGCAGTTCCTGGAAATGTAAATAGAGCCCAGTGCTTTGGTGGCAGGTTCCTTATGAAATGTCTTTGGACTCCGGCACCTGAAGTATCCTGATTTCTGGTTCACTTTTTTAAAAAACTGAGTTATTTAGTGGGATTAATATTGTTTGGGTTTTTTTTTTTTTAACATCTTTATTGGGGTATAATCGCTTTACAATGGTGTGTTAGTTTCTGCTGTATAACAAAGTGAATCAGCTATACATATACATATGTTCCCATATCTCTTCCCTCTTGTGTCTCCCTCCCACCCTCCCTATCCCACCCCTCCAGGCGGTCACAGAGCACCGAGCCGATCTCCCTGTGCTGTGCGGCTGCCTCCCACTAGCCGTCTACCTTACGTTTGTTAGTGTACACATGTCCGTGCCTCTGTTCGGAGTTTTTAAGTTTCAGATTGTTGGTCAGGAAGTAGCAGAAGTGGGGACAGTAGATGCCTGACACTGTAGGTAAGGAAGTGAGAAGGCAGTCAGCGCAGGAGCAGCACTTTGAAGAAACTCCGGGGTTTCTTGCCTTTCTGTCCCTTCCCCACAGTGGAAATCAGTTCGTCATGATAAAAACTGCACGGGCTTGAAGGGAGGACAGAAACAGCCTAGTCACACAGAATTACTCACTCTGTCTAGCACAGCATCACTGGGTCAGCATGTCCCTGCCGGTGTGTGTCACTTACCAGGAAGTGGGGATGGAATTAGTACACAGATCTCTGGTATTGGAACAAAAGTTGTGATCAGAGATGTCACAATGTTTCTTTCAGGTGGAACATTGAGAATTTATGCAGATAGTTTAAAACCAAATATTCCCTACAAGACGATCCTGCTGTCTACCACAGATCCTGCAGACTTCGCTGTGGCTGAAGCTTTAGAAAAGTACGGTCTGGAGAAAGAAAATCCTAAGGAGTATTGCATCGCCCGCGTGAGTACTTACCCATATTACACGTGCTGGAACTTTGCATTTAAATGGAAAGATATTCTTTAAATGAAGTTAAACTTAGGCTGAATTTCTCCACACTGTATCACTTAGAGTCTGGTAAACTGAAACCATGCGTAAATATATATAAGAAACAACATTCTCCTTTCCATTACAAAAGTAATATGTGTTCCTGCTGTAAACTAAGAAAAGTATAAAAAGCAAATTGAAGAAAATCCTGTATAGTTCTGATGCCAAAGGATAAGCGCTATTAACATTTTGATGTATATCCTTCCAGTTTTTATTTTGCATATATATAGGTAACAATTTTATTTTAGTAAAATCTGCTTTAATGATTTTTTTTCCTTAGGGTTTTTACTAAGATGTATCATAACGACCCAACTTTAAATAAATCTTGGTTTGCTATTCATCATTAACCGACATTTGGCTGATAGATTTAGTAGTCATCCATAATTTCTTGGAGATAAAGGGTGTATCTTTGACCCTAGTACTCAAGGAATACAGTGAGATTTTTATGCCTCAGAGTTGAATTGGTGACACTAAGTAAAATCAAGCAGATTTTCTCTTCTAAGGCAAACTTTTCGGAAAATTATTAACCATTAAGTCAGTCACAAGTATATAATAACTTCTTTATACCCATTATTTCTCTGTCAAAATCTCATTGGAAGTAGATTTTTTTAAGAAGATATCCTTCTTTCTCTCGTCTTAGCAATTGATTATTAAATAATGAAAGTGTGGTTACTTGTTTTAGTTCTTGCCCTCGCCAAGATTATTGAGAAATAATTAAAGTACAATGTATTACATGTATTTAAAGTTTATAATACCATCAGTTTGGGCCTGTCAGCACAATGAACATTTCCTTCACCTTCAGAAGTTTCCTTGTGCCTCTTTGTAATTTTGTGTTTCATTGTGTGGATATGTCACACTTTGTTCATCCATTTACCTGTTAGAGTTTGCGTTGTTTCCACTTTTCAGTTTTGGGCTCTTACAGTAAATCTGCTATGAGCATCCATGTGCAGGTCTTCTCATAGAAGTACTCTTTTTCTTGAGTAAATACTCAAGTGAATGGCTCCGTAGGAGACATATGTGTAACTGCTAAACTCTTTTCAAACCTGAGTATAGCATTTGCATCCCCACAGTCATATATGAGAGATGCCGTTGCTCTGCCCCTCACCCATGCTTGGTTTGGTCAATCATTTTAACTATTAGGCATTCTCCTGGGTGTAGTTCTATCTCATTGTGGAAGAAATTTGAGTTTCCCTGATTATCTATATACATGTCAAGTCCTATGTATGATACATGTACTGTGAATATTTTTTTCCCAGTCTGTGGCTTGGCTTGTCTTTTCACTTTTAAAATGGTATCTTTCAGTGAGTAACAATTTATTAATTTTGTTGAAGTCCAGCTTGTTAACTTTTTAGTGCTCGGTACTTTCTGTATGAGAATTTGCTTCCTCCAAGGCTGCAGACACTTGTACCTGTATTTTATTTTAGAAGTTTCATAGTTTTAGGTCTTACATTTGGGTCTGTGTGTTCCATTTCAAGGTAACATTTGTGTATGGTGTGAGATTAGGGTCGATGCTCATTTTCTTCTGTACAGTTACAGAAAAAAAGACTTTATTTTCTCCCACTGAGTGCATTGGCACCTTTGTTGAAAATCAGTTGGCCATATATGTTTGGTTCTATTTCTGGAATCTATTCTGTTTCATTTATATATCTTATATCTTTTCACCAACACCAAACTGTTTTGATTACTGTGGATTTATGGTGAGTCTTAAAATCATATAAAGTCCCAATTTTGCTTTCTCCTTTTGCTTTGGTTATTCTAGGTTATTTGCATTTACAAATAAATTTTAGAATCAACTTACCAGTTTCGACATAAAACCTGCTGGAATTGTGGCTGGGTTTGCATTAACTCTGTAGATGAATCCGAATGCTAACAATGTTCAGTTTTCCAGGCTGTGGACAGAGTGAGTGTCTTCTGTAAGCTCTCAGCGGTGGTGGTTTCTAGTGTTGCTACAGAGGGAATTAAATAAAAGGCCTTGCTTGGGTTTTATGGCTTTTTTCTTTTTGCTGAAAAGCTGAGACTTTATATTCGGTTGGGAAAACCATTTGGTAGATGTGCAATTTTATGAATAAAGCCCAATTTTCATCTGAAAATAGATGAGAAAACAGATGTTTTGATTCCACTGAGATGACAATAAAGGATAAAGCCCTTTGGGAGTGCACGAGAACAGAGAGAGTGAGCGAAGGGCCGGCAGAGCAGTTGTAGATGAGAGTCTGAAGAAGCAGGCGGGTTAGTATCTAAGTTGCTGGACCTGCAGAGGGGGCCAGCCGAGGGGAGGCGCGCAGCTGCCTGTCTCCCAGCCCCTAGCAGACTCAGGCATGAGGGGCTCTAGCATGTTCTGAGGCGGCATTGAAAATTGGGCTGAAAACAAATTGGGTGGAAAGTTTTTATAAGCAGTAGTAAGCCTCCAGCAGACTGCCTTCCCATCCAGCTACTGCGTCGTCTCTCCATCCGAAGGCCAGAGTAAAACCGATGGGGGAGGAGGCCTTGGCTTTGGGGGTAACTGGCATAGCAGGGTCTTTACCACAAGCAGGAGGATGGAGGGGAAGGCTGTACCCAGAAGATTGAAGGATTCCTCCCAGAAGGCACTTTCTGGTCAGAGAAGAAAGATCTGTATGGAAACTGACCTTTGGACGTCTGGTCCAGCAGCCGTCCTCGCCATTACCGTCAGCTTTCCGGTGACTCGCTGTCAGTGTGAGTGGACAGCCCAGACTCAGTAGACATTTGCAAATGCCTTTAAAATGAAAGACAGACCAACACAGATAGATCAGAGAACCCGGAGATACAAGAGACGAAGCAGATGGAAGTGTGGGAGAGCTAAGAGACTCTGCGGATGGCGCATCTGGAGCACAGTGAGGAGAAGCATGCGGGGGGCTCCTGGGGATTGAAAAGCCCAGGTAAATGAGGGGTGGGGGCAGAAGGTCAGTGGAGGGATGAAAGAGCAAGTGGAGGAAATCTGCCGGAGGACAAAAAGAGAGGGGGTCGGGAATTTAGATTATCGGTGCAGAGTATCTTAAAATTTAGCCCAAGGAGGAGGACCAGGTAGAAAAAGCAGTAGGAAATGGAGAGATAGACGTTACCAAAGAAACAATGCTAGACCATCTACCAGGACTGAAGGATTTGAGTCTCTAGGTTGAAAAGGCCCACTAACTAATGGGACAGTTGCTTTGAAAAAGGCCCAAACCGGGGTGTAGTGAAAGTGCAGGAAGCTAGAGAAAAAGAGAGGGTGATGATCGCAAAGAAGGTGGTTCAGGGCTTGTATAAAGGGTTGGGGGACACAGTTGGCAGCAGTCACTTCAGCAGTAGCCGTGGACTCTGGAATTCACGGAAGCGGCTTTCTGATGCAGAGGGGACCGACTTCTAGCCCGTACCCTCAGTCAGGCGCTGGGCGGCTGGAATAAAGTCGTTTTAAGACACACACGGCAAAAATCTGCCACCCGCGCAGCCTCTCTCAGTAAGGTGCTGGAGGACATTCTCCAGCAAAATCGTGGTGTAGGCCAAGAAAGAGAAAAACAGGGTATCGCAGAACAGGCTCTAGCACAGCAGAAGGGAGTCCCCGGCGACAGGGAAGGAGCGTCTGGGGGATCGCTGTGTGGCCATCCTCTGCGGCACCTGTTTCAGAGTGGAGGTGATGTCTGAGATGGAAAATATTCTTTAGAAGCATGGTGGTAAATATTAGTTATAACGTCAAAATAAACAAATAGCCAGTAAATTCCTGAGTGTATTTCTGTAAAGACTTTTTCCCCAGTGTTGTGTGTTATAGCAATAAGCTAAATACTCATCACTTAAGGAATACTTTGAATACCTTGTCATTATGAAACATTTTGAATTAGACCAACACCAGTTGACTTAGACATATTTACATTTTATACAATACCCTATTTTTGGAAAAACAGTCACCATACAATAAAACCAAACAACAGAATTCTGTGTGTGTGTATGTATGTATACGTGAGCACCAAGAAAGGTACATGCATAGGAAGGATACACACCAGCTTAACTACCTACATGAGGGGAGGGAGAGGAACAGAAGACTTTAAAATGTTACATGTGATCAAGCCACCTTCTTATGTAAAAACAAAAAGTGCATAATTATAGAAAGCATGATCAGGAAAATATACTTACTGTCTCACAGATTTTTTTCCCCTCCTCATGCTTTTCTGTATTTGAGTTTTTTACATTGGGCCTGTGTTATTTAGAATCAGAAAGAAATACAGCAAAGCTCATTTCATTGTAGGGTGGAGGAAGATAGATGGATGCTCATGAGTATTTGTTTTTTTGCTGCACCTTTTCTTTCTTTTGGTCTTATTAGAAAGAGACTGAAAACCCGCCTTACTTTGGGGAGGGAGGGGCTGGGAGGGCGAGGTTGGGAGGATAGGTCATCAGGATAATCACGCATTCTCTCCAAAGGGAAAGAACCTGAGATTCAGGCCATGCTGGGCGTTTTCCTCCTGCAGGTGAGGTGAGTTTGAAACAGAGGGGGACCCTGTTGTCATGCTGGCTTCGTTGCTTTCCTGCTTGGGAGAAATAGCAATATTGAGCAAGCATTAGTGCATGTATGGAAAATATATTTACACCTAAAGAATAATTGTGTCCATGGATTAATGGTAGATTTTGATACACGTTCCTCATAGTTTTGGTTAATAACTGCTGTGAAAAGTGTTCTTAGGATAAAACCAGTGAAACAGCAGTATAAATAGGGTCTGCATTGCTAAACAGAGGGCTGACCCTTTTCCAGCTGGGTCCCTGTTAGGCTGTGAGCCCAAGGGCAGGAGCTTAGTTACCACTGCTGAACACTTAGGATTGCTCAAGTGTTCGCCAGGGGAATGTTACCTTTTAAGTGTATATAAATCTATTAAATAATTCTCAGTTCCATAAAGGTGCATTTGATAGTATATGTGGTAGTGAACTTTTTAACATTTTCTTCCTTTCTTTAATTTCTGCCGCATTTTTACTGATGAAAATCAGAAAGTGAGAACACCTTAATCAGGGCCGTGAAGTTACTGGGCTTTTACTGACGGTCCCTTTTGAGATCATTTGATGATTTCTTTTGAGGGTCGGCGCCTAGTTTTGGCTTTTGTTCTTCTCTGTTCTTGCGCATTTTCTTTCGCAAGCTTCAGGCAGGATAAATTAGGCGCTGATTATTGTTTTAGCCTTGAGATAGAAGTCCTTTGTTTCCTTGCCATCTCACCCATCATGTAATATGTAGCTCTTTCCTATTCATTCATTCATCTATTAGATCTATTCAGTGAATTATTCAATAAATATGTAGGTTCCTCTTATTTGTTAGATACTGTGCTGGGATGCAAAAATAAGAGCTGCCTTCAAAAGAGGTTACGGTAAAGGGAGACAGAGAGTCCGAGAAAAAAATACAGGCAAGGAGCTTGAAATTAGAACGGAGGTCAGAGAAGCCTCCCTGGAGGAGTTGTACTTGGGCTGAGAGGTGAGAGGGCACGCTAGCTAGACCCGAAAGCTGGGGACGGGCCTCTGAGGCACAAGGGATCGTGGAAGCGTGAGGTTTCGTGGCCCAGTCGAGAATTCGGAGAAGTTCTGTGTGACTGGGTCTATGAGGATACGTGACAAAGACTGCGACTTAAAGAGATGAGTGAGGGTCAGATCCTGAAGCAGTGTGTGTTCCAAGCCCACTATCCTACATGTAATACAAGACGCTGTGAGGAAAGGTTGGTTACTTTAGCATAAGGGTGTGTTGTAATAAACTTGTCTTTTTAGGGTAATTTGCAGCAGAGAGAAGTTTTACAGTTCTACGGAAGTCTAACCCATTTGGTATATGCACGTGATGGTCTAATTGGGAGTAAGGTCTATTAGGATAACATTATTACAGTAACTCCAAGTTGAAAATAATTTTCAGGTGCCAGTGCCTGGCTTCTCCTATTTTCTGTAACCGTGCTTTGGTTGGCGTGAGCGGTGGGACCGAAGTCAGCGGGGGGTCAGAGACTGAGCCCTGTGGCCGCTGGTTCTTTTCTCTGTGTTACAGAGGGTTTTCTCGAATGATTGAGAAAAATCGTTTGCCGTAAAAACATAGAATAAAGAGTAATATACAGTGTTACAGATTTTTGAATGTGGTGAATGCAGTATCTTAAAGCATTTGTTGAATGAATGGCCCAGTAATACATGTAAATGATCTGATTAAAATTTAATCATAAAAACGAATTTTCTACAAGAAAAAGAAAGCTAATCTCTTGTGTTGTTATGTGATGGTTATATCCTAAAAGCTTACATGTTAGATGAAACTGCCACATTAAAAAGTTTGGTTATGAAAGGTGGGTCCTGCTGTCACCTTTCCCGAAGGAATTACGCACAGGTTGACTGTTGCGTGCAGTCTTTCCAAAAGAGAGTTTGTCAAAAAGCAGACTCCGACTGGTATGGGCCGGGGAGCAGGGCGGAGAGCAGAGAAGCAGGTGAATGAAGATGGTCCGGCCGGCTGGCCAGGCTTTTAACTGGAAACTATTTTCCTTTCCTTCTGTCAGTGTTTTTGAGAATTGTTCATTGTGTTTGACCAGTTCAGTTCTATCTACAGTGACTTTTTTATTTCCTCAAAAACAATAAATTCTTTCTTTTAAATGCCTGCTAATTCACTTTCTGGGTGTAGTCACAGTTCATTGTTATTCCCTCCCAGGTGATGCTTCCTCCTGGGGCCCAGCATTCTGATGAGAAAGCTGCTGAAGAAATTATCCTTGATGATGATGAGTGTCCTTTACAGATCTTCAGGGAGTGGCCGAATGACAGAGGTAAAGAGTAATCTTATTTGTCCAAGAATTACCTCTGTGATGCGTTCGTTACACTCTGACTTGAAATATTAGTCGTTTAACTTACTGGAAGGTGTAGGACGGTGCGCGTGGCAGAGTCTTCTGAGGGCTGTTTGCTGTGCAGGTTTCTTCCCCCTTCTTGGACTTGCTGGGTGGTTCCTAGGGGGTCCCTGCATCCTGAGGGCCGCTCTCTGCTGGTGGGTCTAGTGGGAGACCTGGCACAGGCCGTTTTGTGGCAGCAGGAGTACCATGTCCTGAAGAAGCTGGACTAGAGCACTGTGTCAGGTTGTCTGTCAGCAGCGGGATCCTTACCTGCCAACCAGATGGACTGGTGATGTTTGGACAGATTTGTCATGATGGGGAAAATAGCCTTCAACCCTAAATACCGTCTAGTAATTTAGTCATTTCATATAATGAATCCAGACTTTTCACTATCCAAACGATTTCTCCTAGTTACGTCACAGCAGTGAGGGTTTAAAGGTATGTTTTTTATGAAATAAGAGTTTTCTTGCTTTCAGATACACATCTTAAGCTACCTGTTGCTCAGTGGAGGGCCTTTGCATTAATAAAGACATAAAAACTGACTGCCAGTTAATCCTGTCATATTTGAATGTAGATTGTGAGTTTTAAACATACACTTGCTTAGTAACTTTTCTCGACAGTATAAACTTTATTAAAGTCAGATTGCGTCGAATTCTGAGTTAATTCAATTGAATTAAATAAAATCAGGTTAACTAAGAATGTATGTGTGTGCGCATGTGTTATTACATGTGTGTATGAACGTGTTTATTGATCATAGGGTTCTTTACCAATAGAAACATTCATTTATTCTGAAACTGGAGTGTTGTCTTTCATGCATGTGATACGCTTGGGTAGGTGTTAATTTAAAATAATTTTTGGAAATTGCTTGCTAGAGTTTTCAAGAACATGTCAAGAGAGTAAGTATTTCCTCTGTTGAGGGAAAGTGTAAATTGGGTAAGCTTTTGCTTAATTTTTCCCTGGGGGATGTTATTAAATTACATTTTTTGATAAATCTTTGAACAGTTGATTGCCAGTCAGCTGGCCGTCCACACTCACTTGAGTCTGGTTGATAATTTACAGTGTTACTGTTTTAGGGATTTTAGTCTTTCAGCTGAAGAGGAGGCCACCAGACTACATCCCAAAAAAAAGCCAGAAGCACATGGATGGGAAGCCCCTGCACGGAAAGGAGCGAGTTGATGGGTCTGGCTATGGCTCTGTACTCCCGCCGGAGAAACTGCCCTACCTCGTAGAGCTGAGCCCAGGTGAGAGGTGTTACAAATGTACATTCTCAGCTTTACATTTTATTCTTTTTAATGAATGTTATATTAATTGGTCTTTCTTTTGACTGACAACCTTTTTTTTTTAAGACCATTTATTTTAAAAAGTAACCATCATAAGATGTATTTCTTAAAAAAACAAAACCCCTTAATTAAGGTTATAGGATATGTGTATTCATATGTATATGCATTAAAATATGTTTATGCATTAAAAATAAACTTCACATGCACAGAAATGAATACTGAAAAACAAAATTTTAAATAGTGAATATAGAGAATTTAAGAAGTTTAAATGATTTACTCCCTTTTAAATTTTTTTTCCAAAATAACCCTGTAAAATACTTAAACTACTAAAAATGAGAAACTGAAATGTACTCCTCTTAGGACAGACTTCATAGAGGCAGGTGTGTTTGTATTTATCACACTGTTGCTTTATGTATGAACAGTGTCAAAAGAATATCTGTAAATTTAATTACATCTAAGAAGTCCACCTGTAAGAGGAGCGATATTTGCTTAGTTTTAAAATTATAATAGACTAAGTTTGTGTTCATGTTAGCCTTCTAAATATTTCGTTTGTTGAGCTCTCTTAAGCTAAAGCTGTTGTTATAACTTAGCCATCATGTAGAGAAATACATTGACATTCTTAAGGAAATGTTTTATACACACACATCGTATGTAGTGTACGTATTTGTACGCATATTTAATATATGTGTGACACATTTGTTTACCATTCAGCTGAACTGTATCACTTCTTACTTATTTGGTTAAAATGATGGTATGTGACCTTTATTATAAAATGCTGTGAAGAACAGAGTATTGTCCCTCCCACCCAGAACTGCTTTTTAAATAAAGCTCAGTAAGTAATTATAGAAAAAGTTAGCTAAAAACAAACTGGTTATGTAGATAATCTGTGTTTCCTTGGGCGGGAATTACGTTTTTCTCTTTGATTCTTGAGTATTTATTTTTGTTTACAAGATTATAACTAATGATCAGATGTGGTATTTGTGGTCCAGTGGTCTCCATGGCACAGCTGGGTTGTGTTATATTGATACAGGGAAAACGCTGTTGTTTTCACTGATGCTCCATAATTAGTAGTCCGTGGCCGTGTGTTGCAAGTAGTAGTTTTTATGCTTAATGATGTTTGAAGGTTTTTTAAAATTGATTAGCTGTTTATGAGGAAGATGTGAGTGTTGCCTTGTCTCTCAGTTCTCCGGCTGAAAAGTTCATGAAACTTTGGTTTTCGCACAGTGGTTTGCAGACATGATTAGTGGTGAGGGTTTGGTGCTCAGTGGTCCGAGGCAGTGAACGGCGGCTGGAAGACAGCCATCTGTTTTTGAACTTAGAAGTTTTTAGGATCATCTCTGGGCATTGGGTCTGCCATTCAGGATTTTGCATTACGTGCTAGAAGCTAATGATTGTTTTCTCCCAAACTGAAATTTTTGAAAATAGGAGTATTAACCCAGAGAGAGTTGATAAATAGCAACTGACATAGGATAATTTTCAAATGAGTAGTGGAAAGTTGACTTGGGTGGGTAGCAGAGACAGGATGAGAATTCATCCATGTATTTATTTGACAAGTACTTATTGAATGCTTACTATGTGTCAGACACTGTTCTGGACCTTGGAGATAGGAGAACACCAGCAAAACAGATTAAGCCCCTGACTGTGGGAACGTATATTCTAGTGAGAATTGGCGTTTTGACTGCTTACTTCATCCTTACGGCCTCCCGGGTAGTAAAACATAGAGAAATTTTTTGTCGGTGTAAGAAACTGATGGATCCGAGATAAACGCTAGCCGTGTCCTACTTGTCACCAAGTGCTGGCGACAGCGTCTATCAGATGCTTGTTAAAACACGGCTTCCTTCACGGCCCTCTGTTACTTCAGTCAGCGTTTACCGAGCTGCTGCTTTAGGCTGCGCCGTAGGTACATAGGTGACTCAGGTGGCTTCCAGAGAGACTCGTGGTCCGAGTAGCTGGGCCCCCGGGGCCCTGTCAGTCTGATGCGCCCAAGCGCCTGGGCTGCCTGCTGGAGAGCTGCAGCGCTCCGCAGGTGCCTGAAGTTCAGCTCCGCGCCGCACTCGCAGGTGAGCAGGTGAGTCGGGGGAGGCCTGGATGCCGGCCGGGGTCTGTCTCACTCCAGAGCTGTTCTCTTCACCAGGTCACGCTGTCTTCTTAAGGTGTCGTTGCTCACCGAGCCCGGTCAGCACGCGGAGTGAAATGGACTTGGTTTCCCTGTGTTCGTGGATGCTGACTTGTTACGAGCGACTGTTTCCCTGGACACGTTGTCAGCCAAGCACGTGTCCTCGGGGTTGGGCCGAGGCCCTGTAGGTGTCGTCGGAGGCTTTGGAGATGTGGGCGGGTGCTTCCACTGTCTCTTGGAGGGTCGGGGGTAGAGGTCGTTTTTGTCCCTTGCTCTGGGTTGGGCCGTGCTCCGCAGGGAAGGAGCGGGGTGGGTCTCCCTGTGATGGACAGACGGCCGCTCCTCTGGTGCTCGGGGACTCCCTGTCAACTCAGTGTCCCCTCAGCAACGTGCCCACGCCGCGCGGAGCACGGCTGCCGTGTCCTCCAGCCCAGGGCTGGGGCGGGACGTGCCTTTCCCCCTGGACAGTCGCCTCCCTGCAGCTCACCCTCTCCTTCTCTCCCCTGCACGCGTCTGCGTGGCCGCATGGCCTCTGTGCGCCGCTGCCGCCTTCACCCGGGTCCTGCGTGTGTGCGCTCACCCCAGGGAGAAGGGGTCGCTTTGCCTGCTACAGCTGGCGCGCTTCCAAAGGGGATGCTGCGCTTCCCGCTACTGTCTCATCTCGAGCACTAACAACCTCACGGGCAGAACAGCCGTAACTGACCAGATGCTGGATGTGTTGGCTTTTCAATTAATATAAATAACTTTTCTTAAGAGTTTAATGTACTTTCATTTTATCCCTATCTAGTTAATTCTTCCGTATCCAGAATTCATTTCATTTAATAGCAACTTATTTTGCAGAAATGTCCAGTGTCTTTGTTCAGGCTAAGTTTTAAGTGAGAATTTGGACTAAAGGGGGGAGAGAGCAGTTTTCCTGTCCTTCGACCCCGTGCGCCCCCAGGAGGAAGAGGGGGAGACGCAGCGGGAGAGGAGGTGCGGACGGGGTTGTGGGGGAGGACAGAAGGAGAAACGGGGGTGGTGGATGGGGGAGGGAGCGCCGATCGAGGCCACGTGTCCGGTGACCCCAGGAGGCTGAGGAGGAAGAGGCCGCCACCCACTTAGTGCCGCTCGTGTCTGTATCTTTCTCGCGAGGCGCTCGCTGCCATCGTGAGCAGGTTTAGGGTGTCCTTGGCCTCTGCTTGCTCTCCTGCTTGAGATTCATTTCTGGCTGGCAGAGCTGGACCTTCTTACTTGGAACTTGTTTCTCAGATTTTGTGCATTAGAGTCTATCATCTTAAATAGTACCTGGACATACTTCCTTTGTTTTTATATTTCAAGTGTCATTTTTTACATGTCGATGTAACAATCAAAACTTTCTCGTATGTAAAGTTTACTCAGCCTTTCGGCATCTTATATTGGTTTGTTGAATTTTCTCCACACTGATCATACAGGTTTTCATTGGATATTAACCAAACTTGGAGTTTTAGTTCTTTGTTCTTTTAATAAAAAATGGAAACAAGGGATATTTAGTACCTATTTTGATATAATACATAAAGTAGAGTCTAAGACAAGTTTCTGTTGTTATTTTATTCCTGAAAAGGATTCCTTAATGTTTTCACGTGTTGGTTACTTTCACACTGTAAAAGAATGGAGCAAATAGAGAGACAAATACGTTTCCTTTTTTACCTGGTATGTACCAAAAACAGTTTCTTCCCTGTTGTACTGGTTCGGTAAAACGTAAGCGAACATAAGCTCTCTGGGGGCCAGGACGTGAGCTCACTTTCTCACCGCAGACCTCTGGCGTCCACACGGCGCCTGGGACACGGAAGCGCTGGTCAGCACTCCTTACACACGTGAGTCTTCGCAAGCAGGGCGGCCAAGAGATGCCCCAGGCCGTCGTCCACCCAGCTGCCCAGAGGCAGAAGCAGGCCTGGATGTGTAAACATGCTGTGCAGTGACACCAAAAGTGCCCTGAAAAACATTCTCAGGCTTTGCTCAGAGTGATCTATTTTAAGTGCGTCCCAAATGTTGGACGTTTGACTGGATGTTGCATATTCCGCTCGGTAACCCCAAATGGTATTCTAACGCTTGTGCAAACCAGGAGAAGGAAGGACATGAGTATCGGGTGGTGTAATTACATACGCATAAAATAGACTCTGAAGATTTGCCTCTGGGTGGGGAAGGGCTAGGCAGGGGCCAGGTGGGGAAGGGTGCGGTTCACCATGTCCTTTTTGTGCCTTTTGAATTTTGCACCATATGAATGTGTTACGTATTTTTAAGGCAAAAGTATAAAATGTTTCTAAAAAGCATTTAGAGCCTCTGGAAGGAGCACTCGTCTGTGTGGTAGGGTTACTTCGGAAGATTTATCTCCGCCTTCAGAGGCACTCCGGATCTGTCGTAGCTCTCAAGTGAGGAGAAATGTGCTCCGGCGCTTGAGCCAGACATAGAGCATTTGTACAATCCCTGTTGCGGAAGGGGATAAAATTTTAAGATTTTTGTTGTAAGCCACCGTTTTACATGTTTGTTACTGCCTGTGAGATGACTGCTTTTACTGAGGAGGGGCCTTGGATCTACAAGAAGCTGTCAGTTACGTCGTGAACATTATTCGCCTCCGTTTCTGTGTTCTGCCCGAGGTCCCAGAACTCCGTTTTATGTACGACGTGAGTGGCCACCGTTTAGGTTATTCAGGATATACCTGAAAAGGTATCTTTGTTTTCTATTATTACTGTGAAGCAGAAAGAAAGAAGGGATTGGCAAGGTTTATTTCTGATCCGTCTGTCGATAGATTTCTGTCACAGAGAAAGGAGAGACCGAGAAAGTTTGTATCTCTCCCTTTCTTTTTATACTTCTAAATTTGTGGCTGTAAATGTTGATGCAGAAAAGTATATAGTACTCATTTATTAGCTCACAAGGTACCCTTCAGAAGCATTCAAAGTTCAGAAGAAAACGAATGTGGGTTTTTCTTTCACCCCTAAACAGACGTATTTTTCATGCTCTTCTGTTTTTTTAAACATTGTAATTGAAACAGTTGTTCTTGATCACTTGTTTGCTTCTTTTGCTTTCTTTATAATTCATTTGTAGAATTCTGTGCGAGACCGTATCGCATTATTCTGTTTTCCGCATTTTTAGTTAATAATTCTTCACTGTTAATACATTAACGCTTTATTGAGCGCACGCTGTACTGAGCACCAGGTGTACAGAGATTGTTTTAAAGACCTAGCCGCCTGGGAGCTCAGGGGTGGGAGTGGTTAGGAAGCAGGAACCCTCATCAGACATGGTCAGTGGGCTCGAGACGAAATGGTTCACGGTGCTGTGGGTGCCGGAGAGAATGCTACTTGACAAGCACTGTCCTTAGGGCTGCCTGTGGTGTTTAAAGCCAGCAGAATGGTAAGCATCCCTCAGGGATTTGGGCTCAGCAAGTCTAGAAGGGAACTGGGTCCTGTCCAGGGAAAGCCCCGCGTGACTCTGAGGCCCCGTTTGGATCAGTACTCGGAGTTGAAATCAGGTGGTTTAAATGAGGCTTCAGCTGCCACCAAATCTGATGAGGATGTGCTGTGAAGCAACACAGACCCGGAGCCCGGTTTTTAGTGCCTGTGAGACGTGGTGTCTCTCGAATGCTGCTTCAGTCTCGTCTTACCTTCACCCAGATCTCAGAGATCGCTGCAAACCTGTCGTTAGCGTGTTATCTTGTGCACTCTCAAATTAGCAACCGTTCTAACAGCTTGCACACCCATGTTCCTGGTGTCTTTGGTCTGTGAGAGTTGAGACCACACTACCCTAAGATTTTAGCAGTCTGCACTCTGTGTACACTGCAGTGTTTACACTCCTGATCCTGGGGACTAGAGATTTTAACTGCAGCTCGGTGAGCGATTCTGAAGTCGCTGAGGCTCTGGGGCAGCGGGGTCCTGCACAGCATGGGCACAGCGAGGTTGCTGCTGTCACGGCCCTGGGACCGAGTCCTGGCGCGTGGATGCCGAGGCCCGTGTCCCCCTGTGCGATAGCACTGAGATCAGAATGACCCTCGGTGTTAGGTGGGGTGGGTAGGCAGGTGAGGAGGGGAGGAGCCCATCCGGGGGTCAGTGGGCAGGGGCCACGGCTCTTGTGGTCCCCCAAAGCCAGCCCATCAGACAAAGTGATGCGCAGGCAAGGGAAACATCTCAGCAGTTCCCGGAAGTATGAAATGACACAGAAGTAAAAAACCCAGTCTCTCCTTTTGTCCTTCATCCCAGCTCCACTCCGTGGAGGTGAGCACTTTTCACGGCAGTTCTTACTGGAGCTTCATGCCAGGGGTGGCCGTCAGAATCACGTGGGGACACGAGCTGGGGCCTCATCCCTGGGGTCGGTCTGGTCCAGAAGGTCCGGGGTGAGCTGGGAGGTCACACTCCTTCCATCGGTTGCCCTGGCAGTCTGTGAGGAGGTCCGGTCTGGAAGGAGGGTCTCCCTGTCTTCTTTAGAATCAGACACAAGTCCAGGACCATGTGGTGGGGAAACATTTTTTTACGTGATAAAGAAAACGTCGGTATGAATGACGGTGTTAGTACCTTGAATTATATTTTAAACAGAAGCTGATGTGCTTACGTCTTACTTTGAATTTTGTGTATTCAGTTACTTAAGTTGCATGATATAAATTTGGGGAGTTCTTTGAATAGAAATCCTGAGAATTGAGAACAGTAGTGTTGCTTCAGAGGTAACCCGTCGTGTGCGTGTTTGTTTCAAATAACGTGGTGAGCACGTTCGACTTGGCTAGTGAAGCCCTCCCTGTCCTTCTCTCATCGCAGACGGTTCCGACTCCAGAGACAAGCCGAAGCTCTACCGCCTTCAGCTGAGCGTCACTGAGGTTGGGATGGAGAAGTTCGACGACGGCTCCATCCAGGTGCGTGTCCGGCTGCCGCTCTGCCTCTTCGGTGGGTCATAGGGCAGCGTGTGGGCCTGCCACGCTGTGGGTGAGTGGAAGGGAGGGAAAGCCTTTTACTTTAATGTAAGCAGCTTGCTTGCTCTGGGTCGCTTCTCTCTGCTTCATTGTGAACAGAGCAGAGTGTGAGTTTCTGTCCGACTCCGCCCCCAGACCTCCAGGGCTGTTGCTTTTCTCCAAAAGATGGTGATGGTTTTATAGGTTGTTTCGAGATTACAGGATTAAGGGGGATAACGCACGTGGAAGTGCGTGTCACTGGGTCGCACACACGCAGCAGGAGGCGTTCAGCGAAGCATAGTTACAGTGTTAACTGAGCCACAGGTGCCCGGGCTGGAGTAGCGCAGAGCTTAGCATGTCTGTGCGTTGGGAAGGGCAGGGCTGCTCGCTTCCTGGGGCTTGAGCCTGGGCAGATGTCCCTTTCTCTGTATTCTCACTTCGCAGTTGTGGCATGAGGGGCCCGATTACTAATGTCATTTTCAGTTCTAACCCCATCCTCAGCACAGCAGTAAAACAGGTGAACAGGGATTTGTAGCCCTGATGATCTGTGTAGATTTACCCATTAATTGTCTAATATTCAAGATGACCACATGTTTTGTTTATTTTTTAATAAATTTGTTTTTTATTTATTTATTTTTGGCTGCGTTGGGTCTTCTTTGCTGCGTGCGGGCTTTTCTCTAGTTGTGGTGAGCGGGGGCTACCCTTGTTGTGGTGCGCGGGCTTCTCAGTGCAGTAGCTTCTCTCGTTGCGGAGCACGGGCTCTAGGCGCGTGGGCTTCAGTAGTTGTGGCATGCGGGCTCAGTAGCTGTGGCACATGGGCTCAGTAGTTGTGACTCGTGGGCTCTAGAACGCGGGCTCAGTAGTTGTGGCTCTCGGGCTTAGCTGCTCCGTGACATGTGGGATCTTCCCGGACCAGGGCTCGAACCCATGACCCCTGTACCGGCAGGTGGATTCTTAACCACCGAGCCACCAGGGAAGCCCCCATATGCTTTTTAATGCAGAGTTATAGTACCCCTTAAATCAAGCTGCTGGATGGTGAAAATATTCAGTTATTTTGACAGTGTTTAATTCATAAATTAAGGGAAAATTCCCTGAAAGCACCAAAAATCCAGAGTTTATTAGATTATATTTATCATAAAGGAGGGACTTACAGTCTCAAAATTCAGTTTTTAAATCCTCTGTACTTGATGATGGAAGTTCCTTTGATTTTCCTTTCTTTTTAGTTGTTTGGTTCAGGAATTGAGCCCCATCACTGTGACCTCACAAACATGGATGGAGTGGTCACGGTCACGCCTAGAAGCATGGATGCCGAGACCTACGTGGACGGGCAGCGCATCTCGGAGACGACGATGCTGCACAGCGGGATGAAGGTGCAGTTTGGGGCGTCCCATGTGTTTAAGTTCGTGGACCCCAGCCAGGACCACGCTCTGCCCAAGAGATCGGTGGATGGAGGCCTGATGGCGAAGGGTCCCAGACAGAGGCCTGGGTAAGGAGCATCCATCACCTTTAAGAATTCCAGAGTGTTGTGATCATGCTGAAAATGAAATGAATTAGCCATAGATTATGTGTTTTATTGTCTTTTATTTTAATTTTTAAAGTTACAGTTTGTGGTTCAGGTTCTTGTTGATTTGGGTTGGTTTCAGAGAAGCAGAAGAAGAAAGAAAGGTCTTGACTTCGTCTTGAAATTGGAAGTTGTGGCTGGTTTTGTGTGTGTGGGGGGGCTGGTTTTTAAATTATTTAAAAATTTTGTTTTTTAGCTGATACTTTTTAAAAAAATAAATTTATTTATTTATTTTTGGCTGCGTTGGATCTTCGTTGCTGCTCACGGGCTTTCTCTAGTTGCCGCGAGCAGGGGCTACTCTTCGTTGCGGTGTGTGGTCTTCTCACTGCGGTAGCTTCTCTTGTTAAGGAGCATGGGCTCCAGGTGTGTGGGCTTCAGTAGTTATGGCGCGCGGGCTCAGTAGTTGTGGCTCGCAGGCTCTAGAGCGCAGGCTCATGAGTTGTGGCGCGTGGGCTTAGCTGCTCCGCGGCATGTGGCATCTTCCCGGACCAGGGGAGGGCTCGCAATCGTGTCCCCTGCATCAGCAGGCGGATTCTTAACCACTGTACCACCAGGGAAGCCCTAGCTGATACTTTAAAACAACACTTTATTTGAATTACGGTGTTCTGTGTAATGAGCCTTACGTCACCGAGGTGTTTTTGTTGAGGTGTGCCCTCTCTGTTACTCGTAGTGAAACACGTTGTTCTTTGTTAAGGAATGCAAGGTATTTGGCTCCACCTAGTGCCTGTCTGAGGACTTGCAACGTGGGCCCGGTGCTGGAAAAGGAAACTCCTTACCGTCTGGGAAAACTTCTCAGAGCGGGAGGGAGTAACACTTCCTTTTTGATAATGACATTTTTTTCATGAATATACTGCCCGGTGACTTTATTACCCGTCTTACAGGTTGATAGTGTGTGGATCTTGGGAAGACAGGGGCAGTAGCTTCTCCCCCGCCCTGCTGAGAGCACAGACGTAGCACCCCGGGGGGCGGCCCTCCTCGTTCCTGAGCCTTGGTTTCCTGCGTGACCGGTCTCTGGTTAACCGCGCAGAGCTTCCACCTGGGGCCACATGGGGATCGTTCCCGTTCCCTCGTGCTGGCCCTTCGCTAGCTCACTGTCAGCACTAGGAGTTGTATCGTGATGGCTGCCGCCAGGCTGTTGAGGACGTCCTGGTCTCTCTCCTCACGCTGTCCACATTGGATCCCGGCGGTGGAGAAGGGTGAAGGGCAGTCGCGGTTGGTGCAGATAAGACGTGACACGGCTCCCGGGTGGTCGCTCTGTGGTTCGCACACGTTCGCGGCAGCATGGTGGATGTAGGGACTGCCATGCAGGTGTGGGGGTCTGACGCCCCAGCCTCTCGCCTTCCAGTGCCAGGGTTCAGCAAGCGACCGAGCCCTTAGTCCCAGAGAGAACCGGCGTGGGTCTCAACTTCACAGGAAGGTCCCTGTCTCCAGCTTTAAACTGGGCGCAGCGATAAACCCGTCCTTCCTACCGTGTCCGGCAGGACCAGGTGTTTCAAATTCCTTTCTTCAGGCTGTATTTGTTTATCAGCCGCGTCTCCCTGTTTCCTCTCTCTTGTCATGACCTTCCCACTGGCTCTTCTCTTCAACAGATGGTCTTTGCTCAAAGGGTTTCCATGTTAGTTAGCAGCTTTCCTTCGCGCCGTTTCTTCCTTTCAGCACCAGACACCTGGACAGGGTAAAGCCCGCCTGCTTAACAGCCTCACGCTTATTCCTCGGAAGTTTCTCCAGAGAACTTACCATGTGAGCAGTTCTTCTGGTGTGTTGTGTATCGTCTATCAACAGTGCCTACGATTACCGCCTCTTATTTGCAACTGGGCTTTACTTCTAGGTTTTATATCATATTTATTTTGATGGTGTTAGTTGGTAGTGTTACTGTCATAAATACAGTTCTACAAACTGTCTCTGTCCCACTCTTGCAGTCGGCGCTTCAGTTTTGTGGGCGATGTTTTCCTGTGTGAGAACATCCGTCTGCTACTGCTTTTTGCCTTAATGGTTGCTGCTCTGGAGGCCTGCGGTTGTTGATTCTTGTCTTGTCTCTGGCTGAAAGCAGAGATCGTGTAAGGACATGGAGAACATCTCATTGAGGGGTAGTGCTGCTGTGGCATTTTATTTTTATTACATCTTTTTCCTGCAAAACTAGTCCTAACTGCTTAGTGGTTGAATATACCAGTACTTACATGTACATCCATAGAGTAGAACGGACTTTCCTTTTTTATAAAAATTAATACTGTTCGCACGTTAAACTATTAACGCAGATTTCTAGGTAGATAACTCATGTATTCCTTTTTTTCACACCTGTATGTATATTTCTTAAATGAGCTTTAATTGGCATATTAGTTCAGGTGTGTGACGTAGTAATTCAGTATCTGTATGTATTGTGAAATGATCACAGTAAGTCTAGTTACGTCCATCGCCACACGTAGTTATGCAGAGCTTTTTCCTGTGATGAGAACTTTAGGATGTACTCTTAGCAGCTTTCAGTTATGCAGCACAGTCTTATGAACTGTAGTCACTGTGCTGTGCATTACATCCCCAGGACTTAATTATTTTAAAACTGGAAGCCTGTACCTTTTGACCCATTTTGGCATTCCCCCCACCACGCGGACACCCCTGCCGCTGGTATCCACCAATGTTTGTATCTGTGAGCTTGGCTTTTTTGTTGTTACTGTTTTTTTATATACAGTTTTCAAAGGTCACTTCCCGTTTACAGTTATTACAAAATATTGGCTCTGCTCCCCACGTCGTACAACGTATTCTTGAGCCCGTGGTACACCCGGCGGTTTACGCCTCCCGTCCCACAGCCCCTGTACTGCCCTTCTCCCGACCCCCGTCATAACCACTGGTTGGTTCTCTGTGTCTGTGAGTCTGCTTCTTGTTTCTTATATTCACTAGTTGTTGTATTTTTCAGGTGGTATCTGTAGTATTTGTCTTTCTCTGTCTGACTGGACTTAGCATAACGCCCTCCAAGTGCATCCATGTTGCTGCAGATGGCAAAATTTCATTCCTTTTACGGCTGTCTTGTTGTTCTAAGTTCCACATATAAGTGAGATCATATGGTAATTGTCTTTCTCTGTCTGACTTATTCCAATGAGCACAGTTTCTTCAAGGTCCATCCATGTTGTCACAAATGGCAAGGTTTCCTTCATTTTTACAGTTGAATAATATTCCTGTGAGTGTGTATACACAGATACAGGTGTGCGTGGGATTGCTGGGTCATACGGTAGCTCTAGTGTTCATTGTTGAGGAACCTCCATTACCGGTCTCCATAGTGGCTGCACCGATTTCCATTCCCACCAGCAGTGCTCGAGTGTTCCCTTTTCTCCACACCCTCACCAACACATACCTCTTGTCCTTTTGATGATGGCCATTCTGGTAGGTGTGAGGTGATGCCTCCTTGCGGTTTTGACTTGCGTTTCCCTGGTGATTAGTGATGTCGAGCATCTTGTCATGTACTTGTTGGTGATCTGTATGTCTTTAGAAAATGTTTATTCAGATCCTCTGCCCGTTTGTTAATTGTTTTTTGTTTTGGGAGGAGATGTTGTTACTGAGTTGTATGAAGTCTTTATATATTTTGGATATTAACCCCTTATCAGATACATGGTTTGCAAATATTTTCTCCCCTTGCACACATTGCTGCTTCATTTTGTCGGTGGTTTCCTTTGCTGTGCAGAAGCTTTTAGTTTGCTGCAGTCCCACTTGTTTATTTTGCTTTTGTTACCTTTTTTGTCAGATCCAAAAACTCATCACCAAGACTAGTGTCAAGGAGCTTTACTGCCTGTATTTCTTCTGGGAGTTTATGGTTTCAGATCTTACTCAAGCCTTTGATCCATTTTGAGTTAATCTTTGTGTTTGGTGTAAGATAGTGATCCATTCTCATTCTTTTGCACGTGGCTGTCCAGTGTTCCCAACACTTTTTATTGAAGAGACTGTCCTATATGTTCTCTGTCATTGTATATTCTTGGCTCCTTCGTCATAGATTAATTGACCATATATGTGTGGGTTTATTTCTGGGCTCTCTATCCTGTTCCATTGATCTGTGTGTCTGTTTTTATGCTGATATCATTCTGTTCTGATTACTGTAGCTTTGTACAATAATAGTTTGAAATCAGGGAGTGATTTGTTCTTTGTTCTTTTTCTTTGTTCTGTCTCAAGGTTGCTTTCACTACTTGGGATCTTTTGTGGTTCCATACAAATTTTAGAATTGTTCTATTTTTGTGAAAAATGCCGTTGGAATTTTCACCGGGATTCCACTGAATGTACAGATTGCCTTGGGTGGTATGGACATTTTAACAATATTAATTCTTCCAGTCCATGAGCACAGAATAACAAATATCTTCCATTTATTTGTATCTTCTTTGTATTATTTGTATCTTTCTTTGATCAGTGTCTTGGAGTTTTCAGTGTACTGGTCTTTCACCTCCTTGGTTAAATTTATTTTTAGGTGTTTTATTCTTTTTGATGCGGCTGTAAATGGGATTGTTTTCTTAATGTCTCTGAGATTTTATTACTTGTGTGTAGAAACACAACATATTTTTGTTATTGGTTTTGAACCCTGCAAGCTTACTGGATTGGCTTATTCTAACACATTCTTTTTAGTGGAGTCTTTAGGGTTTTCTGTATGTAACATCTTGTCATCTGCAAATAGTGACAGTTTCCCTTATTTTCTGATGTAGGTGGTTCTTATTTCTTTTTCTTGCCTAATTGCTCTGGCTTTGTTGAATAAAATTGGTGAGAGTGGGCATCCTTGTCTTGTCCCTGATATTAGAGGAAAATGCTTTCAGTTCTTCACTGTTGAGTGTGGTGTTGGCTTAGGTTTGTCGTACATGGCCTTTATGATGATGAGGGATGTTTCTTCTGTACCCACTTTGTGGAGAGTTTTTATCACAAATGGCTGTTGAATTTTGTCAGATCTTGTTCTGCATATGTGGAGATGATCGTGTGGTTTTTTTATCCTTTTTGTTAGTGGGGTGTGCCACGTTGATGGATTTGTGGCTGTTGAACCATCTGTGTGCATCCCTGGAATAAATCACTCTTGATCATGGTGTATGAGCCTCTTAACAGGTGTTTTAGGGCTCTTTTTCCCCTTTGGTTGGGCGCCTCTCATGAACTGGAATAAATGGATTGCATTCACCCTTCATTTGTGCCGAAGAGCTGTAGCTTGCCTCAGATTATTGACTCTTTAAAATGAGATTTTGTTTATATTCTTAACTAATTTTTCATAATGATAAGTTTAACAGTTTTGGTCTTTTTGAGATATTCTTAAAAACTGTGTAGAATTACTCTGGATCTAATTATTGACATTATCAAAAATTTCTCCATTTCTATATTTGTAGCCTAATGGTGGTATCCGTGAGCTTTTAAAAAACCATCAGCTTGGCTTTCAGGCAGGAGTCAGCTGGGCCTGTGCCCTCTCTTCACGCCCATTCCACCCCCACCCCCACCCCGGCCTTCCCTGAGTCCACACGTGGGCTCCTGGCACCTCAGGCGTCTGCGCTGTGTTTACGTGCCATTTTCAGCCTAGAGAGACTCACTGATGGAACAGCTTTCTCTTTTTTTCTTTATGCTTCCTTTCAATTTTTTGTTATTAGTTTTCAAAAATCTGATCTCGAGAGTATTCAGTATACGTTGGTAGGAAAAGTTCATAAAGTTACAATAGTTTTTTAATTCATTAACTTCATATTCTGGCAGTAAAGTGATTTCTTGAAGATCTTTGAACATTGAGATATTTAGCTAACTGTTCCTTTTGTATTATAAAGAAGAGACTACCTCTTATCATTGGAGAGTTATTAATTCTACGTATTTCTTTTTCTATCTCAACAGAATTGTTCAGGAGACAACTTTTGATTTGGGAGGAGATGTTCATAGTGGGACAGCATTACCAGCGAGCAAGGTGGGTGATTGTCTCTTACCTGACAGGACTGTGTTTGTTTTGCATGACAGGACGTCCTCGATGAATTACTGGTGACATTCTCCTAAAAGCCTTGTACAAACAGACTTCAATAGTGGCCTGCGTGTGGGTGTCCTAACCACTTGTGTTTCTCGTGGTGATACGTGAGCAGCAGACTGTCTTTTCCCCTAAGGCCGGGAGGCTGTGCTTTCTCTCCCAAGCAGTGTGTCCTAGGCCTGTCCTCTGTGTGGCCGGCCTTTCTTGGTCAGGCCACCCCCGCAGATAGCAGACTCCTGCCCTTCTTACCTCAGCTTGGGTCCCGGCTCCCACCTGCCACTTCACGCCCGTGGGCGCTGTGCTCTCTCCCTTGCACAGTTGGTTTACTTCTGTCCTCATTCTGGTTACCGACTGCTGGGTAACACCCCACACCCAGACTCAGTGGACTGAAACAGCAGTTGTTTTGTTTCTTCGTAGCTGTGCAGAGCGGTTTGGACTCAGTCTGCTTGCTGACCTTGCTGCTGGCTCCCTGTGTGGGACGGTTGGTGGCTGGGACCCCTCGCCCATCTCTCTCCATGGGGGCGGCGGACGTCTTAGTGCCTCACGAGAAGCGCCGAGCTCCCAGGCCTTGAGCCTTCCACCGCGTTCACGGGCCCGGCTCGGGGGCAGGAGCTGCTCGCGTGGGGCTCATCTTCGGGCACCGGGACAGGTTTTTAAAACCCTTCCTTCCTGTCCTCTCCAGCTACTGCCCGTTTCCTACTCGTGTTCTCAGCACCGTTTCTGGCAGGGATCATCGGGGGTGGCCGTGTCCACGGCCTGCACTCCATCTCCTTTCCCGCTCCCGTTTGACCCCTGCCCGTTCGTAGGGCCGCCCCTGTCCCGGGCACTGACGCCCCCAGTTCCAGGTCCCATGTGGTCTGTCTCGGCGGTGCCAGCACTACCCAGCGGGTGCACGCCCTCCGCCCCAGGGCCTCTCTCGCCCCGTCTCAGGGCGCCTTCCTCCTCAGTCTGATTGGTGGGTCCCCCACCCCACCGCCTGATTCTGAAATTGGGGGCCCAAGGCTTCAGACCTCGGGCCCCCCTCTTCTGTTGGTACCTGTTCCCCAGCTGACCTTAGACAGTTGGATGCCCTCTGTGTGTGCACCACTCCCGTCTTGGGCGCCAGCCCCCCAGACTCTGCAGCACCCGTCACATTCAACGCAGCTGAGACAAACGGAGACTTTCTTTCTCACGCACCTTCTCTCCCTCACCCTTCCCCACCTCGGGGCCCGACGTCCCGTCCTCCAGCGTCCTCGGCATCGCTCGACAGAAACCCGTCGCGGGCCGCCCTGGTCCCCCTCGTCCCCTCACCTGGTCACCCCTTCACCTGGTCATCGTCAGGTCCTGCCGGCGCGGCCCCTGCCCTCTGACCCTCCTTTGTCTGTCGTCCCCGAGAGAGTCTGGCTCAGGCTGCAGCCGTCCTGTGGCGGAGGGACCGCAGAGCTTCTTAGACGGCAGCCCCTCCTCTGCTCTTCCCTGGCCCGTCATTCTCCCGGCAGCTGAACCGAGGTATTAAAGACGTGAATTAGACCTTGCTACTGCCCTGCTTCCGAAGCCTCCAGGTGGTTTCTTGTCCCGCTGTCACACGGTCGTCGCTCTGTGTCACATAGCTCCTGGGGCCCGGCCCCCTTCCCTCTCAGCTCAGCATGTGCCACCACTGCTTCTGTTCCCGGGATGCCCACCCCCGTCCCACCCGAAGGCCGGGTGGGCCCGCTTCTCGTGGAACGCTCTCTCCGCTGGTTGTTCCCCGGCGAGCCCCTTCTTACCCCGGACTTCATCTGAAGTCTCCTCTGTGAAGGAGTCTTCCTTGAGCGCCCTGGCACTAGTACACACCGTACGTGCAAGTCTTTGTGCAGCCCTTGATACCGTACGCTACTTGTTTGTCGATTGACTGTGGAGTGTGAGCTCTGTGAGGGTAGTAGGGCCTGTGGGCTCACTGCTGCACTTTTGCTGCTTAGAAAACTGCCTGGTAGTACATAAAAGTCTCAGTAAAGATCTACTAAGCAATTTAATGAATAAGTACTCTCAGAACCTAATATAATAACCATCTTTATAAAAAATTTTGCTTCTTATAAAAATGCATAGTCAATATAGAAAACTTGGCTAAATTGAGAAAACATGTAAAAAAAACCAAAAACAGTTCATCCACAGTTCATGGTTGGCTTTTGGTAAAATTTTGGTAGATCCTTTTCTGAACTCTTTTATGCATGTTTGTTCATGTGTGTATTTTAACACAATTAAATCCTTCTCTACACAGATATACACCTTTCTTTCCTGCTTCCTTCAGATGTTTTGTGAGCATTTGTTCTAAAAATCATTTGAAAACAGCTAAAGTGGTTTTGTAACATGTTAGTTTATAAACATGTCAATTTATTTGTTCATTGCCTTACCATTGTTCATTTATAATAATTTTTTGTAGTCTAAATGTCTCCATCCACTGACCAAGCAATTTTATTTCTGTAGCCATACCTTAACAAAGTAATTAATTACTGTGTGTGAATATATGTGTGTGTGTGTGTGTGTGTGTGTGTGTATTTATATATATACACACACAAGCACAGCTATCCTGACACTTTATACTGATGAACATTTTAAACAACCTAATAAAAATTGGTTTAATGAACCTTGACGAATAGACAACAAAACGTTAATACAGCCATTACAATTCTGTAACATAAAAATAATATTACGAGATGTCTACAGCATAAGAAAAAGTATCTTTTACAGAGTGTAGGCTGTGTAATGTCATTTATGGGAAATGTAAACAATGGAAAGATGCATCCTGCACAGTGTTAATTCTGGTTGGTAAGGCCAGGGTGATTTTTATTTACTTATCTGTGCTCAGTTTCTACAGTAAGGGATGTAGCAAGAAGTCTTACATAAATTTTTTGCTGCAGTGGATTTTTTACCTAAATGTATTGATTCTGTTCTGATTGTTTTCTGAATGTCAGTAACTCATCCCTCTGTCAGCCACAGGCTGGCTAGGAGTGGGCACTGCTTGGAGGGACTTACATATACTGTGTTGAGTTGCTTTATAGGTGTCTTTTCCCTGTGTTGATTAAGGGCAAGAAGTAAGCCAGTGTCTGTACTGAGTTCTTCACTAAGTTTTGAGCTGTGATGAGTGAATTTTTACATCCTTCCTTAAAACTCACAAGTAAACAAAGAACCGCCTCTTCACATTGTGCACATACCCTGTCCACTGTGTCCTGACCCAAGAGAACTCTGTGGAGTCAGGTCGCTGCTATTACTGTACTTTCTGCAGGGCCCTGGTGTGTGTGCCCCATGCCTGCATGCCTGTGTTTTAGAGCCAGACAGGGAAAGTGGCCGTGTGTGCTGTTATTCTCTCAGTGACTGTGGTCTTGGGCACACTGCTGTGGACGTGGCATCCTCGGCACTGCTGGGCCCCTCCTGGCCTCTGCTGTCCCTCTGCTCCCGCCCCCCCCCCCCC